TGCAGGGGTTGCATGCCCACAAGGCTGGCCCTGCCAACAGGCACCCACCACCATAGGGAGGCCCCCATTCTTGCTTTCCCCTTCTGAGGCTTCTCACATGTTGTTTCTCACCAGGAACCCCTTTCTACCAACACCCAGCTCCTGCCCATATTAAGTCTTAGCCTTTATCCAGGTATATTCATGTAGAGGCAACGACTTGAGAGTTGGTCTTTACGTATGCTCGTCCACCCCCTCCTATAGCCCTCAGTAGTCGTAACCATCTGCATATGCTAATTAAGGCCTAAATTTTATGCTTCTATGTGTTATTTTCTTACTATCTCTCTCATTCATTCATTCATTCATCATGTATTGTAGGTCAACTATTTGCCATGACTTTGGTAGACAATGGGTATATTAAGTTCCCAAACAGCAGAAACCTTGTTTAACTTGTTCACCACTCTATCCCCAGAGTCACAGAGTGACTGGCTCATGGCAGACATTGGACAAATATTTGTCAAATAACTGTTAAACAGTTCAACCATTTCCCTCCACCATGTGGTGAGCTCCTAGAGACCAAGAACTGTTTTCACTTGTCCTCTGACTGCTGATTGAGAACCCACTATACGTCACATGTTGTTCCAGACATGATAACACTGTTACACACAACTTTCTTTACTTCTTCTATATTCCCCAGCACATTCTTATCTTAAGAGTGAACATTTCCTGAGTGTTTTATATGTGCCAGGCATTAGTCTAAGCTTCATCCATTATCTCATTTCGGTTCCCCAATGATTCTATGAAATAGGTCCTTTTTTATCCCCATTTTATAGATGAGGAAACCAAGGCTCAAAAAGGTTGAATAACTGGCCCAGGGTAAAATACCTATTGGTGACCGGGTGACCAGATTCTAGCTCAGTCTCTGGACTACATTGCTAAGCTGCTTCCATTGAGGAATTTTTGACTGATGACTTCACTGAACTCAAGAGCTCAAGTGGCTCCACACACCATCAGATAGGGGTTGTACCCTGTAACATCAGTGTTAGGCAGTTTCTTGACCAACACCAGATATAACAGGTGCATGGCTCTTTGTGTGCTTACAATGTGGTAAGTAGGACATAAACTATGGTATCATTTGCTTCACTGAAATCACCCACTCATAAAAGGAGATGCCCAGTGGACCATCCAAAGATGCCTGGAAGAAGAGAATGGACATGAAATCCCTAAATGTTGGGAACTCTTTACTGGACAGAAGGCAAGCAATAAACTATTTAGGCTGGAGGTTCATTTGTGGGATTCCATAATGCCTGTTGACACCGACAAGTTTCCCAAGGCATTTGCTGGGGAAAAGGAAAAGGATGGGAATAAGAAATCGAGAGAGAGGAAAGTGGGAAGCAGGAGTGAGTTTACTGAGATGTGGAGTGGTGGGAGCCACCCAGAGCTGCCTTGGCTGCTCGGCAACTGTGGACTGCTGCTCCAGCAGGAGACAGAACATTGAAAGTGAGGTTTACATTTAGCCGAAGGTACAAAAAGGTTTTTAGTCCCATGGGGCTCAGTGAAATGAAGATAGCAAGTTGCGTGTCATACTTTGGTTTGCGTTCCACATCAAGTAAGAGGACTAGCACCCAGCTCCCTGCCTTTAGAAGTAAAAACAAGGGCTAGATTGATGCTCTGTGTTGGGTTCTGTAATGGGGGATTTATGCTATTTGTGTGATGTGTGATAAGATGCAGGGAGTGAAAGCAGCTATTAACACTGATTAACTCAAAAGTTGACCACCAGCACACACAGCCATTGTTTCCACCAGCACTCTCTAGCCATGGGCTTTGTCTGGCTGGCTTCCCAAGAGACAAATGCCATGACAGGAGACCAAATAACCTTGTTTAGGCAATGGTCAGATAATAGAGACGCTCTAGGTATTAGCCTGACTGCATTAGTTTGATTTGTTACTACTGTTCACCTTGTCCTGGGCATTAATGGAGACAAAGGCTTGGAATTACCAGGAGCAGAGATAAGCTGTGGATTAGAGCCCATGTGTTTTGAGGGAAAGATAATTTTATCTTGGGTTTTCATTCCCATTTCCATCTTGCTTAATTTTTCCTCAGAGTTAAAGTTCACTTTTTCCCCTTGAATATCATTATATTCACTACAAATTTCTAGCAATTGCAATTGCTAAAAAAAAAGTTGCTGACTCATTATTTCCTTTAACAAGATCGGACTCTATCTTTCAAGTTTTGGAAATGATTTTGGGGGAAATACGCTAATGATCTTATATATTATCCTGTTTCTTGAATATGCTTATATATTACAGAGTCACTTTATAATATTTAATGATGTTAGGTTGAAAATATAAAAGAATGTGCATATTACATTCATAGTTGCTTCTTTATTATCGCAAGTTCTAGTATTAATTTTTTTCTGACTTCCAAATGTGATTTGTTTGTTATAGGTGTATCATTGCCATTATAAATGATTTCAGTTAGAAATATGTAACCTCAGTTGTAAACACAACTTATTTCAATTATAGATAAAACTGGAATTTAGATTCCCATCAATCAGTTATATTAAAGTGTCACTGGAAAATACTGAGATAATGATATTCTAGAGTTTCTAGGCTTCTTTCCTCCCCATACTCTTTATAAGTATGATCAGTTTTTATAACTAAAAACTAAATTTAAGTGCATTACTAATTGTTGGTCAGTGTTAGTAATGTTTCATTTTTTTCCCAAAGTCTATCATCTTATACAGAATCCTCCCATTCCTCAGAAATTTAGGTTTCATTTCATTCTAGGTTAGGTTTAATTAAATTCTAGATAAATTAAAATCTAGATATGATTACTGTCTGAAAAATCTAAATAGTTTGTTATGTGCAGGACTTAAAATCCTATCCTAAACTAACCAAACATTAGAAAGGAAATAGAGCTAGATGTCTGACATGGCAAGATGTCAAAAAGATGCACAGAATGTCAAATGTGATGACATTCAAGAAAATAACAACATCAGGGGTGCCTAGGTGGCTCAGTTCATTAAGTGTCTGCCTTCGGCTTGGGTCATGATTCCAGGGTCCTGGGATAAGCCCCACATGGGGTTCCCTGCTTTGTGGGGAGACTGCTTCTCCCTCTCCCCCTGCAGCTCCCCCTTTTGTCCTCTCTGTTTCTATCAAATGAATAAATAAAATTTAAAAAAAACAAATATATACACGTGTGTATATATGTATATATATGTACATGCTTTCATATACAAAATATCGATAAAAATGCTTGATGATGGTTATCTGTGAAAGATGAGGTTTGCGAGAGATTTGCCTCTATCTTTATGCTACTTGAATTGTTTGCAATATGTAAATATGACCTTGGAGATAAAAATAAAAGACTGTTGGGAAAAAGCCTATCCATTGCATGATACTTTCCCCTCCAACCGGCTCTTGGTGACTTCCAGTCCTCCAATTTTACGTTACTTCACTCACCTAATGAAGAGCAGAGAAAGCTCCTGGTAGACAGATTTTTACTCACATAATTCATAAACAGTGTTTCAAATTTTCTATCAGTGAAAGCAGCTCTTTATATTGGAAAAAATGGCCCAGTCTGATAGTTGACTTCCTCGGAAAATACTTAGTGACTCTGGTTTTCCAGTTGCTGCCCTGCTGTCTTTCTTTTCCTCCTCTCTCTCCATCTCGGCAACCGTGAAACAGAATACAACCAGTAGATTGCTGACCAGCAGTTGGGACAGAGCTCTCTCTATCTCTAAATGATTTTTAAAAGCTCTAAAATCTGAGTCACCTCACTTTTCCTCAGTGATAATATGCAAACTCCCTCTCCTCTTTCTCATACAAACAAGTAAACAAAAATGTGTCTAGTGGGTAGACACTCAATAATTCCACAAGAACCTTCCACGGGGAGAGAAGAGGACAGAGGAGCAGTTAAGATGAAGGGAAGGGAGAATTCAACTCAATGAGCGCAGCTGAAATACAGTTTCCAGGAGACCAAGTCAAAGTCCTCAAGCAAACATTTCAAAAAGAACAGCCACTTGGGTCTTCCACTAATTAACTAGAAAACAAATACTCAGACATCCAGTGGTAGGATTTCCTTCTTGTGATGCATCTTACCTGTTCCCATCTTTAACAGGCAAGTACAATGGCAAATGCAGGGAAAATACATACTTTTTTTCCCAAACAAGTGCCCTGATTATTTCCAGCAACAAAGTCCTAGTGCATACAAAGGGCAGTTCAGTTACTCCACCTTCTCTCTCTGATTTATTATAATAACAAAATACGCTGTTGAGTAGAAATCACTAAACTAGAAACAGATACAAGCCAGATGATCATTATTACTTTAATGAATGAAAGTAAAACACAACATTAAATAACTAGGAAAATATTTTAAAATTTTGCATTTATTTCCAGTTAGAATCTTTACAATGTATGTATGAATATGATGACTGATACCTTTCTATCTCTACCTCCCCATAATGATTTTGCTTAAAAAAAAAACAAAACAAAACTTGAAACTGGCATGCTAGAAGGATTTGTATTGATAGATGGTGAGAAATTTTTGCTGCTTTATGCCAGAAATCAAGAGAAACTAATAATCCTGTTTCAAAATGCACTTGAAGAAAGGTAATTGAAACAGATCATATCTTTGTGCCATTCTTCAGATTATTTTACTTGAATTATTTTGTAAATTGAATCCAGCTTGTGGAATCACCTAGTCATGAGTTTGCTGATTTTACCGAACTAATTTATTAGATTAAATTTGCTTAACATTTATTAGATTAAATTCACTTAAAAAATAGCTGGCTTTTTCTGAAAATTTTATTAAAATATATAGGAAAGGCCTTTATTGTAACTAAAAGTGCCCAAGTATAATAGGTACCATGTTATAACAGTAAATATTTACAATATATTTTAGGGAAAAAATGACAACACTCAGATTAAATGCAGAAAAGAAAACATCACATTTTTAACACTTGATATTTCCATTGATTCTTCATGTTCCGCAATTGTAAGAAAACTCACATGTTTAGTTTTCTATCTATTCCAGGAGATTCGTGTTGAAATTTTTTTTCGCCATTAGGAACTGTGATTCTCTATGGGACCTTTTTAGCTTTGCACGCCGATTTTGGAACCAGATCTAAAATTAAGGAAAAATACCACAGATCTCAGAAACATTATTTTATTATTATTAACATTTCAATCATAACAAGTAACAACTAAATTTGAAAATTACCTGGATTCTGTCTTCCTCTAGATTCAATTTTTGAGCTAAGTCTTCTCTGATGTCAATGCCAGGATAGCAGTTAACTCTAAAGACATTTTCCAACACTTCAATCTAAGAATAAGGAAATAGTAATATAAAATGTTGATATTGGTATGTTATCATAAAATGGACTTCATATCGCAAAACGACTGCATTTAAATCTTAGGCAATTAATGTATATCTTTTTTTAAAAATGACTATCCAGAAACTGTTTAAAAAAAACAACTCCAGAAAGTCATTGTTTCATAACAAGAGATCCCAAAGTGATTGGGTTTTTGCTCAATAGGGTGTCAGTTAGTTTTTTATATTATCATTACTAGTTGAAAAAAAACTTCCCACCTGGTTTTGAGTAAAAGCAGTTCTGGGTCTCCGGCCTCGATACCAACTCAGCTCTCTTTTCAACGACAGTCTTTCTGAGGCTGAAAAGTAATTTTCGTATTTCAAAAATCTTTCTTCTGGCACTGGGTGATCCACAGTATGAGGGAAGGATATCCCATTGGGAAGGCTTGGGATATGCACACGTAGGTTAACATCTTTCCCTAAAAACAGAAAAATAATTAGAAAACTCCTGCAACGAAGAAATAAATTAGTTCCTGAGACTGTTGAAAAACAACAACAACAACAACAACAACAGAAAAATATATTCCATCTTAGATGTTCAATCCTGTATTCTACCAAGTTCTAGAAGAAGTAATATCAGGAACTTGCCTTTAATTTTCCAAGTGGAATTCTGTTTTACAAGAGAACCGACTTCCCATCAACCAAAAACTAAGAAGCAAACAAAAATAAAGATCCTGCCTTGGTGCTAGAGAACATTTTGGTTTCTGATTTTTTCAGTGAAAAAATTTAATTTTTTTTTTAAATTTTCACTGAAAACATAGAATATCTGATGTGTGAAATAAAAGACCTTATGAAATAAATGCAGGTTCTTGTCATTTCTTGTGAATGAACTTTACCCACTTGGATCTAAGGCTGATAATTCTTTTTATCTCCTATAGAACTCAGCTGGAGGCATTCAAAGTCCTCATCCTGGAGTTATGTAATTCGATGAAATTGTAGTTTTTCTCCAACTCTGTGTTTTATGGAATAAAGACCAAAATAAACGCTGCCGACGAAAACAACAAAGAATTTTAAAAACCAAGCGGTCGCGTACCTGAGGAGCCGCAGGTGTCGGCCCAGGGCCTGTGGGGTTTCATTGAAGGAACACAGTCTTTCTTCTGGTCCAGTCCTAAAATGCTCTCAATGGAAAAGGAGCAGGGCGAGGGTTTGCTTTCCCCAAGCCGAGCACCTTCCGGAAGACTGGGAGCCATCCTCAAGTGGGTTGCCCGGAACGACCGCTCTGGCCTCTCCCTGCCTCTTGGCTGGCTCTGCCCCATGTGTACGGGGCTGGGATCTTCCTGTAGTTCACCTTATGGCTCCGCAGACAAGGGGGCTGGATTTAGAACGTCACTAATTAAAATCCTGTCTTAGAAAGTTTTAGCATGTCAATGAACACTCACCCAGCCAGCAGCTTGAGGAGTTAATTGTTTATTTGTTTGCAAGTAATTAGCAACTAATGGCTACACCAGGGGGGCCACCTATAGGGACAAAAAGTGTTATCTCTCCTAAGCAGAACACAGACTTAACTTTCTCGAAAGAAGTGATGCACAAACTAGCACTCCTCTTTTATTTGAAATCATTAATGTATAAAATCATGCCTTTTATTCTGAAGTTTATACTTTCATGGACTCCAGTTACCTAAACATAGGAGAGCAGTCAAGTAATAAATAATCTAATTTAAGTGAATTTTCTTCCAAGGAAATTGGAAAAAATAATAATCTCTTAATGCTATTACGGTAATTCCGATGAAAAATGCCTGTTTTTCATATGCATATGTAATAGTGAATGTTGTCAATGAAAACACAATAGTATTTGGAGTGCAGCATACTGGAAAAGGTTGGCAATGTTATTAACACTGAGTGTAATTGTCTTCCAAGTGCCCGGATTAATTCATAAGGAACAGTTGCACCAAGTATTTTAAATAATTAATGAGCTAATTCCATTCTCTCATCTTTCCTTTTAAAAATGAGAGAGATACAAGTTTATATGAAGATCAGATGTAACCACCATCAAGCAACTTAAAAACATGACTCTTCAAACTAAAGGGAAGAATTTGTTTTCCTACCACAGTTGTTTCAAAGAAAAGAGCATGATTTACTGTGTTTTCTAAAGAAGAATTTCCCTCTGTGGATTTTTTAAGGGGCTGGGAAGTTTTCATGAAGACAATAAGATTTGTGAAAAATAACCAAGAACCGAGTATTTTCATTTCATCATCCTAAGAAAATTTGAAAGTAAGAGAGAAATGTAGCTGCTAACTGGGAAAATTTTGAAGTAGGCACTCCCTCAAAACGTGTGGTACTTTTACTGCTGTTGTACTCTGTTGCCTCCCTTTTCCCAGTACCTTCCTGATGATAAATTTAAGAGCTCAGCTTCCTCCAGTATTTAAACAGCTACCAGATTTTTCTTCAGGAAGAGGAAAAGTAGTCTCCACTTACAGAGAAAAAAGTCTCTACAGAACGGAGCTCAACTTCATCCCATTTTGTCCTATCATGATGTCACAGATATTAATCTAAATTCCTCCTTAAGCAACCTCTAGAATGAACAAAGGATTCACATACAAAACACCAATGGGCACACAGAAGGATGGGTGTGTAAACAGAGGTGTAAAGTCATTCTGAGAATGAACAAACTAGTAAATATTTATGCCCCATGGAGGCTTTGTCTCTAGTGTCCTGGAATGTAGACTGTGCAAAGAGGGGGTGAACTTACCCTGGCAAGACTTGGAGGAAGAGCGAGAATTCGAGACCTTCCCAGATTCCTTTCTCTCTTTTGAGACATTCATTCATTCATCCATTCATTCCACTATTGGTTGAGCATCTACTCAGTACCAGAAATAACAGAATAGGATCCTTGCCTTCATGAAACTCAAATGGTACGGGGTGAGGTGGGGGTGGGGAGCAAACAATAATTATGAGTAATTATAAGTGAGTAAATTATCTCATATGTTAACTTGAGAGAAGAATGGAAAAAAGGAAATAGGTGAGCCAGGTAAGCTGGCTCATCAGTGCCGGAGGTGGAGATCCTGATATCCTTACCCCCAAAGATCAGTGCCCTCAAGACACAGGTGACAATGATGCTACAGCACATGCCAGCACAAATCTAGTCCCGGATTTCTTCTTGATCACCAAGGACATTGCAATATCTTTACTCTGTCTGAGTTGACTTTATCTGGACTTACACAATACCATTTTATATGTAGATGGTAGATGAAAATAAAACGTAGGAAAGAATTTCCCTAAAAAATGCCAGGAAACATTTTCTCATATATTCATTCAACAAAATTTTATAGAGCACTTAGTATGTGCCACACACCGTTCTAGGTGCTAGATCTCAGTAATGAACACGGTCACTTCAGAGTGATAAATTCACTGAGTGGAATGAACAAAATTTCAACCTCTCCTGTTTACTGCCTTTTGCCTTTTTACATTATGTATCTGTTTATTATGTTTGTTTGTTATTGTCTGTTTTCAATCTCCAGGATTTTTGTCTGTTTTGTTCACTCCTTGGCATCCAAAAACAGTGGTTGGCTCATACTGGATGAAAGAATCTTATCACTTCTTTTATATTCCTTCAAGTAAAGTTGGGGATTGATTTCTTCACACGTTTATTGGTCAATATGTGTTCCATCTTTTGTGAGATGATGGTTTATGTCTGTCTTAGTTTGTGCAGGATGCTCTAACAATATACCACAGAGTGAGTGGCTGGTAAACAAGAGAAACTTATTTCTCACAGTTCTAGAGGCTGGAAGTCTGTCATCAGGGCGCTGGCATGGTTGGGTGAGGGCTCTCTTCCAGGTGGCAGATTTCTCCTTATCTTTGTGTGGCAGAAGGAGCTAGGGAACTCCCCAGGATCTCTTATAAGACACTAATCCCATTCATGGGGGCTCCACCCTTATGACCTAATCACCTCCCAGAGGCCTTCACCTCCTAATACCATCACATAGGGTATTAGGAATGCAACATATGAATTTTGGCGGGACACACGCATTCAGACCATAGCATGTGCTTAGCCCATTTTTTTTATTAGGGTATTTTGTTGTTCTTGTTTCTTTTTTCACTTTCTTTTTCTTTTTTTTTTAGAAAGAGAAAGTGTGTGCACGCATGTGCAAGTGAAGGGGTGAAGGGGCAGAAGGAGAGGGAGAGAGAACCTTAAGTATGCTCCATGCCCAGTGTGGAGCCAGAGCCCTACCCAGGGCTCGATCTCACAACCCTTAGATCATGACCTCAGCCAAAATCAAGAATCGCACACTTAACCGACTGAGCCACTCCGATGACCCTTATTGTTGTTTCTTTAAGAATAAGAGTTTTTCATATTGGGTGTAGAGATTACTTAAGTAAATGTACTAAATAAATAAATAAATTAAATGTTGACAATTTTTATAGATGCCCTCTATCAGATTCCTCTATCAGAAGTTTCTTCTATACCTAATTTGCCAATTTTTTTGGGTCATGAATGAGTATTTTTCTGCCTCTGTTAGAGTGATCACATGACTTTCTTCTTTTTTTTTCTATTAATGATGAATTACATTGATATTTGAATGTTAAGCAATCCTTTTCTTTCTGAGAAAAGCCTCACTTAGTCATAAGGTATTATCATTTTTTGTATGTTTCTATATTCCATATGCTAGTATCTTAAGGTTTTTTTTTTCTATCATATCTTCTATTTCTCCAGTAATTTCAATTACACATATGCTAGATTTTTTTTATATTGTCCCAGAGGTTACTGAGGCTCTGTTAGTTTTATTTTTAATGCTTTTTTCCTGTGTGTTCTTCACTCAGATAATATTCATTGATACACCTTCAAGTTCACTGACTATTCTGTCATCTCCCATATACTATTAAGCCCAAATATTTCTGATATTTTATTTTTCAATAATAGAAGTTACATGTGGTTCTCTTTTTAGTTATTGTTTCTCCAATGATGCATATGGTCTGTACCTTCATTATGAGCATATTTTTATTTATGTCCTTAAGTATATTTATACTAACTGTTTTCAAAACTTGTCAGCTAATTCTAACATCTGTATCACATTTTCTTGTGAATATGGGACAAGTTGTCCAGGTTCTTCATATACCTAACAATTTTGAGTTATATCCTAGACACTGTAAATGATATCTATAGTCTCTGGGTTCTATTTTGTCTGTCTGAAGAATGTTGATTTTTGTTCATTCGTTTGTTTGTTTGTTTGTTGTTTGTTTCATCAGGCTGTGCTCAAACTGTGTCTAAACTCTATCTCCTCTGTGGTTGTCATCAGTTGAAATTTTTGTTCAATCATTTTATTAACTGAGATGTTTGGTGTTTTCCAAACGCATGCCAAATTCAGAAGTCAGCTAGAGATTTGGGCAGAATGTATATGTAGCATTTGGGGCCTTTCTCTGTATCTCTTTCCTTCCTAGGATTCTCTGTCACTTCCTAGCTGCTGTGGTTGCGCTGAACTCCCTCCTTTGGTTCCTTAAGCCGGAGAGACTTGGATCCTCCCACGTGGCATTGACTGATGCCTGCTTTCAGACAAAAGTCATAAAAATGGAAAACTCACCCCGTACTATTCATCTCTTCTAAATGTCTTCTCTTCCTCAGTTTCTGCCTGTTTGGGGCCACTTTCCAGTACTTTTGGATAGTTTTAAAAAAATATTTTGTAAAAAAAAGAAATTTTTTTTTTGTCCAGGGTTTATACATTGTATTTTTGGGAGGGTAGATACAATAGAACTTACTTCGTTATTACCGTAAATGGAGACAGAAATGACCTTTTTAAAGGTAGAAAAAACCTATTAAGTAAATTAGCAATATTTTATCATATATTTAGCAAAATCATAGAATATAGGTAAATACACATAAATCAACTTAATTTATATGTTAGCAACAAACAATTAAACATATACCTGTCATGACCCAGCAATTCCATTCTTAGAAAAATGTAAACATATGTCTAGGAAAAGAGTTGCATGAGAATATTCACATAATATCCAAAATTGGCAACTAGGTGTCTATCAAAAGGGAAGTAGATTAACTATGGCATAGTTATACAACTGACTTTAACTCAGCAATATAGAGGTTTATAATACCAATATATGTAACAACCTAGATGAGTGTAAACACCTTATGCTAAGTCAAAGAAGCCGTATACAAAAGAATATTTGTAGTATGATTTCATTTATGTGGTGTTTAAGAACAGACAAAATTAGTTTGTATTGAAGAAAATCAGAAAGTAGAGGTGGAGGTGGGGACTGAATGGGAAGCAGAATCAGGAAACTTGGGGGGTTATGGCAATGTTCTAGAT